TTCATAACCCACTAAGTACAGTTAGTGTTGCAGTATGTGCATGGATGTAGGACCATTCACTAGCCCATGAACGATCTGTCAGGGGCTGCATCCCTGAAGAAAACTGACCCTCCCCAAGAAACCATAAGCTTCCAGTATCTGCTTAACTGTGGGAAAGACTTCTGAGCTCTTGCCCCATTTATGCTGGAATTTTGGCTGCCTTTATTTTGTTCAGGTCTAATAGAACTAGTTTAAAATCTGTAATGGTTTCATAACGCCTCCAATACTGACTCTAGAACTATCCTGCTTGTACAGAAGAATAGAGAATCACTGAGATGCTGTTAAGTATGTGAAAGTACCTTGTTCCCTAAAGTTCTCATCTGTATGTCTTAAGGATTAAGCGATCTCTCACCCCATCCTGCTACACTCACAATCCACGTGAGAATGACTACTTACCATATGCACTAACATTAAGACCCTTTCCTCCCCTCCTCTTGTTTCCTTTCCCATCTCCTTCCCTTCCTTTCAATCCCCTCCCCTTCCCTTTCCAGTAAGAATAAATTGTGACATCATACTTCTCTTGGGTGGCTCTTTGATCCATCCTAGATAACGCTCACAAGGAAGCAAAGCCCCTGCTTGTCTGATAGCATCATCTGCCTTTGCCACCTCAGAGTTTTGTCTTACAGAATTTATTGTCAGGTCTTTCAGCCTGTATAACCATGATGCAAGCTATGGCATGGCATAGCTATGGCCAGTGGCATCGGCAACAGGAGATACCTGGGGCTTCAGGGCATTGTTCACAAGCAATAAGGGATTGTTAATTTTCAAGGAAAATGAACAAGGACTCAAAATAACACTTGCAGAGCACAATAAATTGCTTCGTGAGCAATAAATACCAAGCGGAAGATAAAACCTTGAGCCTCAGGCTTAATGCAATCCAAAAACATGATTTATTCTGCTGTTTCCTTTCCATTAAGCAAAGAACTGAAAGCATAATGTTATTCAGTTCTGGGACACACAATCCTATCCTCAGAGCGTAATCTATCAAAGGAAATATTTTTGTGTGCCTATTGTGTACAAGGTTCTATGTGATGTGCCCAGAATTGAGGTTTCTTCTGTGTTCTATGCAAACATTTTCTACATTTTCTCTTGCTTCCTTTCATCATAGTGGGGTTCCTAATACTATTTCCAGTACCACTCTCTAAACAGCACCAGATCAACCATCAGTAATGCCTGTCCTCCCCCAACCACCACCACAGGAATGATTTCTTTGATGTGAAGCATAGAAATGGATAAACATGTTAATAGATTCCTGGGAGTCCAACCAGATTAGTCTTAGTATTTACTGCATACTATCATGAGAGAGTAGGGCAAAAAGTATGGACATGGGATTGACTGTGAAAGTAATAGATGGTTCAGGATCGCAAAGAAACCAGGACTATGAACCACTCTACAAAATTGTGAACTATGGGGATGTGTTAGTGAATAAAAATAGTAACCCAAGGAAGCCTTGTGACCCAAGTTCTATACTGACCCAAGTTCAATCCCTGGAACTCACCCAATGGTGCTAAATGCAGTGGCATACATCTGTGAGTCTGGCACATCTCCCACAATTAAATGAATAAATAAATGGATATGTTTTTAAGGGACATACAAAATTGCTGCCATAGAGAAAAGTCATTCAAACTTGGTACAATGGGCATTTGGAGCCTGCTAATTCTTCACTCTAGAAAACTGTCCTACAGGACAAAAGATGGTAATCAGCTTCCCTGGCCTCTACCCACTCACTAGGCAGATCTCAGTAGCTACTCCCTGACCCCAAATGTATAAAAAAAATTTCTCCAGACATTGTCAAGCTCCCATTGTCAAGAAATCATAGAGCCAGACTGTAAATTTGTATTCTGACCCCACAGAAAGCTCACTGTTGGCCTGTTGGACTCTGTTCCTATTAATTCATCAATACAATGAGATAATGAGAGGTTATTTCATAGAGTTTCTTTAAGTTTTAAATTAATATACATAAAATGCCAGAACAATGCCTGGCACATAGTAAGCATGATCAAAATGTTACTCCTGATATGTTTTCTATTATATTATTCACCATTTTTCTAAGTATGGGTATGGTCTACTCTTATTTTGTACTCTCTTCCTTTTGCAGAAATGACTAGAGAGTTAAGTCCACAGTCTAGAATCACACAGTGTAAAGAGATTTTGGATAGCTTCAGAACTGTTAAATAAACAAAGCAGGTAATCTATGCATTGCACGTTTACAGAGTGCGCTCATTTAAAAGTAGATTTATTGGTGTAAGTAACAAAATTAAATGAGATTTATGTCCCCTGACCAGCTCCCACAAGTCATCCTCTAGCCTCCATGAATTAATGACTCATGCTTGTCCACATACAAACACAAAATAAACAAATACTATTATTATTCTCAAAAAAGAATTAGAAAAGAATAAATTACCAGAAAGGGTGAGTTTTTATCTGGATAAAGAATATAGTTGGACTGGGTCATGATGGCACACACCTTTAATTCCAGCACTCAGGTGGGACAAGCAAAGTTTGAGGCCGGCCCAGTTCCACGACAGCCAGAGAGCTGTTAGGTGGAGAAACACTGTCTCAAAAATTCAAAAAGCGAAAAATAAGAAGAATATACTTCGAGAGATGGTACCAACGTATACTTATTTCAAAAGAAAAAGAGAGAAACATATATAGTCATGAACTCCAATATGTTAGAATGTGTAATCTTCATTTTCAAATAACTTTTACAGAATCGGGGAATAGTGATTCACAAACAGGCACAGACTTGGTAGTTATGGAGCAACTTCATGTTAAAGTGGATAATCACTTTGATAGCTTTCATCCCTTTTGTGCTTATTGCACTCTTATTCCAAAGTGCCATATCTTCAATCCAGTTACCTCAAAGGCACTTATAGACAACTGCTCTATAACTTCTAACCTCTTGAAGAGTTTCACACAGCACAGTAACAGTAGGACAACTAGGGAAGGTATTCTCAAGAGCATCTTGTATCACTAGCATTTGCCTTTTCTCCAGCTCCTTCTGACTATTCATGGCTGCTGCTAATAAATTATAGGAGTCAGAGGAAACAGAGCAGTGTCCTAGTTTGATGAGATACTTCAAGAAATTGCTGGAAATTAGGCTTGAAAGAGAATCAGACTAAGGCTCAACTTTTCCACCACTTAATGATAACTCTACAGATATATTTAGCATTGCACATTTTGTTCATGTGAATCATTGATCTGGACCACTAGGAAGCAAAAGATCACCTAAAATTTGTCTTTGGATGAAAGCTTTTGCAATCTTGCTTACATAAATGATTTGCTAATACAAGCACATGATTATAGGAAATAAGATCAGACTGAATTAATAGTTGGATATATCTGTCTCTGGTTGTAACTCTAAGCAAACTCCTACATATATTTAGTTATTATTGAGAAATGGTCTAGCAATAATAGCATCTCTATGTTAAAATAGTTTATCATTCTGAACATGGATATAGCAATCAATGAATACCATTGTGTGCATTGCCCATGTACCAAAGTCACTAAGATTTAATTTTTGTTAGTCATTTATTCAAATATATCATGAATTGCTACTTTGCACCACACATGGAATGATGAATTAGAAGCTTTAAAGGATGCCTACACTGGATGCAGTGCCACACACCTTCAACCCCAGAACTTAGAAGGCAGGAGCAGACAGATCTCTGTCAGCTCCAAACAAGCTAGGGCAACATACTGTGACCCTGTCTCAATAAATTATTAAAAATCTGCCTAATCTCTTAAACCCCATCTCTGACCCAAAGGAGTGACAAGCTTGAAGAGGTAAATGTAGCCAAGAAGTACAATTCAAAAGAGTTGGTGGTAAATATTCAGTTGATCTTGATTCTTAAGCTCCTCTAACCTGATGATCTTCCAAGCATGCTCTGGAAGGAAATCATAGACTTCTTTAAATACCCATTGAAATGACTCTTTTCCAGTGAATGCTTCCCTGGCAACTCATCTCCTCCACCCTTCACATACATATTCCCAAACCCATTTTTGTAGCTTCAATTACTCTTCTACCTATTCAGGCCACAGAATCTCTTTATTCCCTAAACTTGAGTAATCTGGTCTATGCAACTCAAGTAATTTGTTTGTTCTTAATAATTTAAATAGAGATAGTAAACCATAGTGACTAAAAGGCATGTATCCTGTACAACCTTGGATAACAGAGATCACCTTTAGAAACCTCTCATTTGTTAAATGCAAATATAAATCCTCCCCACCTCATAGATTTGTCCCGAAAGTTAAATGACAATGGTGCATGCCAGCTGCTTTAGTTGACATATGGTAAGCACACAATAATTAGTGGTAGTGGAGGTCTGAAGTGGTACTAGTACTAACAGCAATTATCATTATCATCATCATCTGTCTCTTTTACTAGACTGTGCAGTCTTTGTGGATAGGGGCCATGTGTACTGTCTGTTTTTTCATTGGATTTCCCCTAACCCTCAGATATTCCATTAGCTGCTGAGATCCCCAGCTCTTTGAATTGTACTACTGCAAGGACCTAAAATCTAATCAGGAGTTTAATTTTCATATTTTATTGCCAACTACGGGAGTCTTTTGATGATTTTATTTTCTTGGTTTGTATTCCTGAGCAGTTTGAATGGGATCTGCTGAAGTAATAATATGCTAGTAGACAAAGGATAAGAAAACTTCTCGATTATTCCGATCTCCTTTGATGTGTGCATTTGTGATGGGTAGAAACGGGGGAAAGGGTAGAAAGGAAATACACTAAAATGCCATCTGGTAAATTGCTTTCAAATTTTGTGACTTCCTGCCACTTAAAGCTGTATTATTTCAATCCTTGTAAGAAAACTAGCATTGCATGGAGGCGTTACCCACCACTTGTCCATTGACCATTTTTGTAAAGTGTTTGCCAGAGTTTACTCTAATAGCTAAACTAGATACTAGAACCTCAACACAGCAAATTATTTCCTGTCATTTCATTTCAGCTGATAATACTAGAACTCTGAATGTAGATTCCACTGCAATGACACTGCCTGTGTCTGATCCAACTGCATGGGCCACAGCAATGAATAATCTTGGAATGGCTCCACTGGGAATTGCTGGACAACCAATTTTACCTGGTACGTTATTTTTAATTATACCACAAGTACTTCTTTTTATTGACCATGTGTCAATAAATATAATGGTATGCTTGATCGTACTTTGAATTTGAGAGATTTTCTAGATTCTGCCTAGAGTGAGCAATTTTATGTGAGCTTCATAGGCTAGATGGCCAGTATTACAGCACTTTGTTTATATCTAAGAGTATATCTGATGCAGGCTAGAGTTATTGAACATGTAATGAAATGAAAGACAACAGAACTTTGGCAAGTAATAACAAAGCTTGTCTAATTTTTTAGACTTCTTACTGAACACAAATAAACATATTCATAGAAAGAGAACTAACTTGAACATATCTTAAATCCTAGACTCCTAAAGGGAAAGTACATTGGCTGCAAAATAATTTTGCATGTACACAAGAATGACCATGAACTAGCTCCATCTCCATTAAGTATGAGATGCTATTATGTTAAACACTTGGAAACAAGTACAGAAGAGGTCAATCAAAAAGAAAAGATATGTGAATAAGAAATGGGTACCAACCCAGAAGCTTCATCAATACGTGATAACTTTCATAGTGCCAGAAGGTTCTATTTATGTTACAAGGGAAGAAAAATAATCAACAATCTTACCTATGAACCCTACAAACTAAAATAATGAATTACCTGGCAAGATGTGCTCATTGGTAAATAGTTGTGTTATAGGACTAACTAGCCTCTTTCTGAGTGTATTTAAAGCCTACTCTGCCAGAGTGAGCTCATGTCTTGTACTAATGACTGGTTAAGTCATGGGCCCTAAATGAGAACATAAAACTATTAGTCTGCTTAATGGACATAGTATTAAACTATCCTGCGTTCTTATCTTCTATTCATAGGTTAGTGCATCCCTTATCCCTCATCAGAGAAGCTTCTTTTTATAATAGATAGCCATTAACACAGAGACCCACAACTGATCAGTGTGCCGAGAGTAAGAGACCATGGATTGCTCAGCTCTCCATGGGATATCCATATCATATGAATCATTGTGGAAAATGGTGCAGGAAGGTTGTAAGAACCAAAGGTAATGGATGCCCGCATGTTTACTAGAAATGACAGAGCAATGGCACAGAGCAATGGCACATGAACTCACTGAACTCTGACTATATGCCTAAGACCTGTACAAGATCAGTTAAGCCAAACTCCCAACACATATTGGACTGAAAGGTGTCTAAGGGATTAGCAAAGAACACCACTAGATTTTTGAAGGGTTTTCACAAAGATGATTGACATGTAGGTGAGCTACTGAGGAGGAAAGACCCATAATAAATATGGGCAGCACCATCCAATAGGCTGGAGGCCAGATGAAATAAAAGTAGACAAATAAAAATCCAGCTAGCAATTACAAATTCACCTTTCCTGAGTGAGTTTATCTCATACTGTTTCCAGGCACTTCAGAGTCCCGCCACTTTAGTATTTTAATATTGGCTCTTTCCACTTACTCTCTAGCAATTTTCTGGTCTCTTCAGTCTTGGTCTGCAACTACATCATTGATCTTGTTCTGTGCTGTTTCTTTTACTGAACAGTTACTAGTTAACATCTATAATTTTCATCCAACCCTCTACAAAGGGGACTTGTGAGAGGCAAAAGGGATAGGAAATATGGTAAAAGTGTTCAAATACAATCACTGTACTTAAACACATATATGGAAATGTCATAATGAAAAACACTATATTTTTGTAACTATTATATAGTAACTAAAAATGACCCTCACGGAGCTATTCTCCAAAGTGCCCTTATTGATGGTTTAGTAATTCAGCTACTTTTCTGCCACCCAGGCGTTTTCCTGCTGAGCCAGTAGCCTGTCTCATCTGGGCTGTCTATGGCAATATAATACGCTTTGCCATAGATGAAAAACAGATGTTATATAAGCTTTCTTGACATTCCCCTGAGAGTTCAAATCTCTACTGTCATGGATGGTATTGATGGACACATACTCGTCAGTGAAGACAATGACTAGCATAATTATATTCTTCAAGTGGGGAGCAGAAGTAGGCCATCTCAGTCTTGGAGTAGAGCTGCCTTTCATCTGCCATTCTGTTTTGTGCAGCTGCTATTCACTAAAATTAATTTTTAGTGATGACAGCCAGGATCACCTCTTACACCTGTTATCTGCAATAGTGTTTGTTTTGACACAGGACTCCAAAAAGACTTTTTATTATCCCATGACAATGACAACCAGAAATGCTATAGCTTCTGGTGAAAGAACAGTGTTTTAGTCCAGTCATCCCAGATAAAACCAAGGATGAACCAACTGAAAATTACTCACTGAACATCATTTGCCCATCTAGTATTTCCATCTTAATTCAAATATCATTAGCAGTTTCATAATGATCTGAGAAGTATGAAAGTAGGAGAAAAAAATCTCTCATTATGGTGCCTTCACTGCAAGGACTCAATATGAGAAATAATGGAAGCTATGGGTGTAGTATGATTAATAAAAACCCAGAGACAGATATTGGGGTCCAAGCTGAAAATCAGAGAAGCAAAGCAGAAAAGCCACCAGAGAGCTCTCACCTCTACCAATGCTGGAGCAATTCTGTCCTCAACATGACTAGAGACTAATTGCCTAAGACTGCTATCTCTAAGCCCCTCCTCCTGTCTCATATACCTCTCTAGTGCTGGGATTAAAGGCATGAGCCATTTCTCTTTTAGACTGGTTCACTCTCATGTAGCCCTGGGTGTCCTTGAACTCACAGAGATCCATCTGCCTCTGTCTCCTGAGTCTTGGAATCAAAGGTGTGTGCCACCACTGCTTGTCATCTACAGCTGTGGCTAGTTTTGCATTCTGGTCTCCAGGCTAGCATTACTAGATCATAAACAATATAGCACCACATGTGGGCTATTGGGTCTTATTCCCAGAGCAAGATCAAACCCCACCATGGGTATTTTCATTCTAAAGAAGACAGTTGTCCTTGAACTTTCCAAGTTAACTATAACAGAAAGAAAATTTTGTTGTGTGTATCATGACTGGACCCATTCCTTCCAAATCCTGAAGAAAGTCTGGATAGGTTTATATTATTGTTTATATCTTCACCATGTACAGAATGCTTTCAGTGACAAATAGAGTGAGATCCTGGGAAAGATTACTTTACCAAGAGCCAATGATACATACAACAGCATCCCAAATAGAACTGATAACACTCCAAACAAACTCAGAATCCTTCCAGGAATGGTAAAATCTCCTAGAAGGCATCATCCTCCCTGTGGAATGTGGGGGGAATGGGATGGGAGGGGAGTCTTGGGCATGGGAGGGAGGGAAGGAGAGAGGGAGAGGGAACTGGGATCATTATGTAAAATAAGAAAAAATAATAAATATATAAAAATAAAAACTTATAAACAAGAAAAAGAAGACACCTCATGAAGTATATTTACACCTAGAGATGTGTAGTTAATCTGCCAAAAGGCCATTATGTGTTCCCACACTTACCCAAAAGCAAATTGTCATCATTTCTGTTAGATATGACTAAAGTTCTTTACAAAATAATGGAAAATATTTAAAATGTGTAGTTTATAAATAAAGAGGTGCCGAACTTTAGCAAAATATGTAAGCTATATGATCTGTATGCTGTCATGCTTTTGCTCAGAAACAATCACATTGTGATTGACTTGGGAGCCAATGACAATGTTAAGATTAACTAGGGCTTAGGGGACAAAACAGTGGATGGCACTGTAGAGACTGAATATTGAGACAACTACCAAAACTGAAACCTAGATATATATCCCAAGTACTGTTCCATAAAAAGAGATAGTTATTTAACATCACAATATGTGTAAATAAATACTATGGAGCTATTTTCATAAAGAAATGTTTTAAACTATTTAGAACCATCAGAAAAATGCCCAAAAATGCCAGGCAGTGGTGACACACACATTTAATCCCATCACTCTGGAGGTAGAGGCAAGTGAATCTCTGTGAGTTTGAGGCCAGCTTTGTCTACAGAGTGAGTTCCAGGACAGCCAAGGCTACACAGAGAAACCCTGTCTCTAAAAACCAAAGAAAAAGAAAGGCAGGAGGGAGGGAGGAAGGGAGAAAGGAAGGAAGGAAAATACTCAAAGGTCGAGAGCTTCAGAAAATTTAAAATAAAGATCATGGTCTTGCTGTGTTGTGGTAATCAAGAGGCTGAAGCAGGTGGAATCTCTGTGAGTTTGAGGCCAGCCTGATTTATAGAGTGAGTTCCAGAGTAGTCTGGGTTACATAGAGAAACCCTATCTTGAAAAACCAAAATAAAAGAAAAAGAAAAAAGATCATGGTCTTAATTAACTCAGTGAAATACATAAATGCACAATCAATCATAAGGAAAATAAAACCTTTATTTTTAAAAGAATCCACATTAAAAACTATTAGGAAGAATTTGAGTGGTACTGTTTATTTATTTATGCACTCATACAAGCAATATTTACTATTAGGAACCTAGAGAGAAAGCAGATGAATGCAAAGATCTCTACTCTGAAATTGGCTCCAATATGTTTACAGAATTACATTTTCTCCCCCAATAAAATGTGTTTGCAGATATAAGTTGTCTTGATTGAAAACTGCTCTAAAATGTCCCTTCTATTTTATTAGTTTGTTTTTCCACTTCAGCATTCATTTTTTAATTCCAATACAGAGCTCAGTCCAAGTAGAGAGCCAAATGGTTCAGTCCTTGTCTTCAGCTCAGACTCCATTGATAGGGGCAAGAAAATAAACATCATTTTATTACAATGTAGAAAGAGTCAGAGTAAACACTTGTACACAAGTGTTATTCTAACCAGAGTGCTAGATAAACAGTGCTGGTCAGGGAAGGTTCACAGAAGAGGTGACATTTGCATCAGAGTTTGTTTTGTTGTTGTTTCTGTTTGTTTGATGTTTGACAAAAGAAACCCAAACCAGTCTGCTAGCTTATTTTCTGTTGTACGTGAATCAGGCCTTATCCTACCTCATGAACTGAAATAGATGTTCAGTGATCTACAAAGGTGTGGTGGATGCTGTTGGAATTTTGTAT